TTGGTACAAGTGGACATTCGTGGTATGGCGAGACAAAGGCCATAATTGCAATGCAAACGTATAACAAAAATTATGGACGCCAGAAGATACTTCGAAAAACTAAATTAACTAACAAAAAATAAACATCCATAGGTAAACAGATAACAAAAAATAATTTATACACAACAAGTAACTTTCCATTCACAAGCAAGGGGAAATGTTAGTTAATCATAAAAAAAGAAAAATATAATATACAACAAGTCAACAAATAAATCACCAGCATAGTAAAGTTTGACTTGCAAAGGATACCATTTCCGGCAAGATTCTGATTCATGCTAAGAACATCCCATTTTTACAACAATGCAAAGCATGCTTTTATCAACAACTTCACAAAAAACCTATAACACAATACCACCTTCTAAAATACATCACAAAACTAAATAAGCATGTTTCACATTCCTACCGCTTATCTTAACCTATCACATGATCACATAACACCTTCCAACAAAATCCAGAAACATAAACATCACCCATATTCAATTTGTAATTCTTATATTTCCAAACTCTCAAACCCTAAATACAACACAATGACCCCTCATAACACTGTCAAACATAAAATACTAAATAACCACAAAAACATCAATTCCCCTAACATAAAAAAATAATCATACATCATCTCTAAATCCTCCCAATCTTAAATCCCCCATAAACATAACACCCCCTTCACCCCACTTAAAAAACCTATCCATCAAACACTCCAACTCAAAAAAATCCCCAACCAATACACTAACAAATACACTATCTAACCAACCCCCCAAATAAAATCACCATCATCCTACCCCCACAAACTCCATTAAACCCCCTTACACCAACCCCCCCCCCCCCCATCAACCTCATAACTAAACAACACCAAAAAAAACACAACACCAAATAATAATAATCTCTCTCAAATCAATCTCAACCCAACCAAAATTACCTCAAAAAAAAAATTACCTCTCTTAAAAACCCCCAACACCTTCCCATTACAACCAACAAAACCCCCCATAACCAACAAACCCCAACCCCTCTCAAACCCATTAAACCACTCCCCTACCTCCTCACCCTACAAAAATTCCCCAAATACTAAAAACACACCTCACCTCAAACACCTATCACTATCCCTCCTCTCACTAATCTATCTTCCCTCACCCCTCCCATTAACCTATTCACTTCCCCCCCATTCTTCCCCCCAACCCCCAATAACACAAACTCTCAACATCTATATAAAATAAATTCCATTTTTAAACACAACATTCTACACAACAACAATATCCCATATTCTTCCCAATCATTCATAAGTACTTCCAGAATCCATCACCTCTAATTTTCCATATACATACCTCACACAAACATCCACTATCCCCCATACAAACATATCTAATTAATCCATTTAACTATAAACAAAAGTAACAAAAACAAATAATATCAACATCTCCATCAAAAAATCCATAATCCACCAATTGCTAATACACATCCTCCCCACACTATCGCAACCGAGACCAAATCCCTACACTAACCACTTCAGATAAACTCTATCTCCAACTTTAGTAGTTATTATAACAACAGATTCCCACACAATACACCAAAATTCGTATGTCGATGGCCTTGGACAATCTTATGTAGTACGCAAGAATACAATGAATTAACTCAGTACAACCCAATGCTAGTGTGAAACATAAAATTAATATACACGTATATTACAGAAGGAAATCTTCAGGTCCAAGCAAACTAATAAACGAAGGGAAGCAATGAATGGCCTTTGACATGTTCAAACCCAGAATTGACAAATGTTTACCATACGGCAAGTGTCTGGTTAAACCCTCTGCATATAATAAAGTCAATTACTTTAAAACACAAAAAAAATAATGGTCAATACATCATACAAAAATTAATAATAAAAATTGTATATGTTTAAAAATAATTCATTTAGCAAGGGCATCCTCAAAATGAATCAGAAATGGCGTTATTAAGATTTACGGACGGTATCTTTTAGCGTTCCTTTAGCGAACGTACCCAGCAGGCTTGTTGTAAATTATCACATTGGAGTATAGCCAAGGAATATGGGCAAAGCAGTGGGAGACGAACGATTAATCTTATCCAACTCTTTGTGGCAGCACTTTGTTGTAATGCAGACTACAGTAAGTCTGATTGCTATTGGAATTTGCTAAAAATAACACTGCAAGAATCAGAAACTTGGTGAGTGGATAGCTCATGCTTTTCCGCAAGAAGGTCTGGGAAGAATCCTGGTGGAGCAAGGTCTTTCAGAGTGGATTTGGTGTTTCCTGAGATGCGCAGGCTTTCCTAGGTGATCCGGTTTCGTACACTAAACTGTTAACTCTGGATGATGGGCGCTGTTCTCCAGTGACACCGCTCCTGAGTAAGCATTAGAGGTCATCAGGCAGGGCAAATGAGAGGAGGAAATGTCCTACGGGATTACATAAAGAGCCCCTTTACACTTGACCTGAACCAGCACAGCTGCTTGAACATGTGAGGAGCGGCTCGGTCCAGGACAGGTAGGGAATTGAAAACATATGGACATAACCTTTTGAAGTCACACAATTGAACATCAACAGCGCGGAAAACTATGCAGCCCCGGAAAAGCAGTGGGGCAACTTAGTAGCGACTGATGAGAGGAGTGAGTGGGACAGGTACAGAACGATCAACATTACCTTCAAACGTTGTATCTTGCCACACTACAATGTTAAGTTGAAGATTCAGAATGGGAGAGTGATGAAATTAGGGTAGTCACCTGAGGATAGAGATGTTAGTCCATGCATCCATGATAAACTAAGGGGTTGACCCAAACGAACTGAGGTGCAAGATGATGCTCAATATCCCGACTAGACCTGCTTTTATCTGGAAAAAAAGAACACCAAAGAAAGAGAGAAACCAATTGCAACCAGACAATTCTGGACCTATTGGACAGCAGTGTTGTCTGCTCAGTACTACACATCACGTGAAGTTGTCTTTCCTCCCTCCTATAGGTCTGATGTAATCGCTGTCTGGGACATGAAAGAGAATCTGCTCACCGTCAGAAGTGGGCCTGTGGTCTCTCTTCGTCCACTGTGTCGCAACAATTAGGGAACTTCCTTTTATGTGAGAGTTGGGTTAGAGTGAATATGATTCATAAAATAGAAAATACTAAATTTATGGGAATCCTTTTTTTTGCATAAAAAAGTATCTAGTCAAATTCTGTTGATTTGTTTTCTATTGACAAATAATTATCTAGAAAAACTCATTATCATTACTAGATGATAATGCTTCCTGGCAACGTTTTCTTTATTTTTAAACTAATTTTTGGGACTTCTAAACCTCAACAATGTGGAATAATAAGTAATGTCAAAACATTCAAAAACCCAGACACGACAGCTGATGATAATAAATTTTCAATTTTTATGAGTGCTAGGAACATCAAAGTTACTGGAAGAACCCTCAAGCTCCAGGCCATCTGGTAGAGGACCAAGTTAGAGAGGGATAAACCGCCCGCGGAGGGCCAAAGGTTAGGTGGGACAATAATAAATTATATATATCTATTTATAATATATATATGATATATATTAGGCTGTCCAAATATCGCGTTATTAACGCGTCTAACGCAAATTTCCCCAATAGTAACGGGTCTTTTTTATTGCACGATTAAAAAAATTGCGTTTGCAGACATAGACACATATACAGAAAAAAAATAGAAACAAAGAACAGGACTATTTCGATACAATTGTAGACAGAGATTACAAACAATATTTAGTTGGAGATCGGGGGCCAAGAAGAACAGACGGGCAATCGGAGGCGAGGGGGGGGGAATTGAAGTGGGAGATGGGGGGGAGGGGTTTAATAAAAAAGGCAATAACGCTAACAGTATACCGTTCTTAGATATACCGACAGTAAACAGAGAAACAGCATTAGAGTATTTACATGAACAAAATTTTACAAATATTAAAAAAAGCAATTGCACACCGCACGCCTATTCACTTTTTTAGTAGTATTAAATGATACTTCAAGGGGACATAAAGAATAGAATACAAATGTGTGACTTAATTGCGAATAATCGCGAGATAACTTATGGAAAAACTCATGCGATTATCGCGATTACATATTTTAATCGTTGGACAGCACTAATAGTATATATGTATAAGTGAGTTATATATATATATTTTTATATATATATTTCATATATATAACATATTCATATAATATATTAGTGCTGTCCACGATTTAAAATATTTTAATCGCGATTATCGCCGTATGAATTTCATAGTTAACTCGCCGTTTAATCGAAATTAGTCAACATTTGTATCTATTTTATGTCCCTTGAATATCATTAATACTACAAAAAGTGAATAGGGAGCTCGTGACAATTGCTTTTTTTAATTCTTTTGTGAAATTTGTTCATGTCATCTTTGCTGTTTCTAGTTTACTTTCAGGTATATTAGCTGTTATTACTGTTTGCTTGTATTGCCTTTTTTATTAACCTCCCCCATTCTCCCACTCTTCATGTCCCCCCTCCCTCTATGTGCATTCTGGGTTTACATCTTTGGTCCCCTTGCTATCTCCAATAATATTGTTTGTCACTCTGTCTACAATGTAATAGACCCTAGTCTCTTCTTTGTTTTATTTTTTTTTCTGCTATATGTGTGTGTCTGGCACAACGCAATTTTTTATAATCGTGCATAAAAAAATGACGGTTAATATTGCGCGCAGAGTATGCTGTTCCGGGTCAAAGGTCAGGACTACCCAAAAATGTAAACATGGCCGAGTCTGACAAAGATATTGAATATTTTGAGCGTTGTAAAGTGGATGTTTTAAAAGAATATTGTAAGAGACGCGGACACAGTGTTACTGGGAAGAGGAAGAAAGAACTGGTGGCCCTCGCTTGGGCATTGTCATTTCAAAAAGCGCCTATAGTTTTAACAAAACAGCAGGAACGAGAGGCTGTCAACCTTGATTATATATCTCTGCTCGAGATCGATGTCGACAGTTGTCAGATGACAATTCCAGATCCCTTGCAGCTGAGAGAAGGTTGGGAGAACGAGTCGACAGCAGCAAATAAATGGCCCCCCTGCATGTACATAGATATAAATAACTATCTGACTCGCAAGGACGAGCTAAACTTGCTAACAAAACTTGCTAACGACTATAAAGAAGGTAACTTAATTTTAGCACTTTGTTCTACCACTCTACATTTATGCTAACTTCCCCAACCCCTTTATATATTAATTGATTTAAATTATATATTTGTGTTTTACTTCTATTATTGTTTCCCTTTTTAAATCACACCAGCTTATTATAAAATAAAAATACAGTTTTCTTTTTCAGGAAAAGCATTTAGCTATTTTGCTTCTCAAAATGCTTGGGTGAAGGAGGTTTTCTACCATGAAGTTTCAAAAGATTCCAAGATATGCTTCTTGAAATGTGACTGCACGCCATCACAACGAGTCAACAATGTTCCACACAATTTATGGGTGTGTTTTGGGAAAGCAAGTGGTACCATATACAGTGCTTATTGCACCTGCTTTGCTGGGTAAGTATGAAGTTGTTGTGTGTGTATATTTTTATCCAGTTTAAGTGCAGAAAATTAGGTCTACAGAACATTTTTTATTTATGTTTCTTGTTGGATTAAGTCTGTATTTCTTTTTCAGACTGGGTTCAACATGCAACCATGTCGCTGCATTGTTGTTTAAAGTAGACTATGCCTGGCAGCACGGATTAACCAGTGCACACAAGAAGGCATGTACCTCCATGGAAAATCAGTGGCTCACACCTGTGCTGAAGAGCATCGAACCAATGAAGCTTGAGGACATGGTTTTTGCAAAACCACATTATACACCCAAAAGGCGAGATGTGAAGCAGGGGTATGCTGTTCGCAAACTATTCTCGGTAAACCGCAGCACACGCCAAGAACCTGCAATGTCATTAGATGAATTTGCTGCAGTCCTCATGCCAGAATGCCCCTCTGCTGTGGCCTTTCAGTATGCCCTTCCTGATGCCCAACCCACTTATGAAGTTTATGATGACATAAATGTTTGCTTAAGTGAAATGTGCATCACGTCAGTTAACCCCCCACCTACTTTAACCAAAGTTGCAGAAAAGTACACGACAGCCGAGGAGTTGTGGAGCAACCTACCACAGTATTCCACTGAGGAGGTATCAAGCCTCGAGGCAGCAACAAGGGAGCAGGCTGTCTCAGAACTGTGGAAACAGCATAGAAATGGCCGAATAACAGCATCAAAGGCTCATCATGTGTGGAAGAGAATGAAAACTCAGGATGCTGAAAAAGGTTGTCATTCACTGGTATCTTCCATTACTGGAAAGGCCTTTGTAAATCCCAACATACCAGCACTCAAGTACGGAAGGGTGAATGAGCCATTTGCTGTGACAGCTTATATGTCATCACAAAAAGCATCCCACTCAAATCTTAAAGTCACACAGTGTGGGTTATTTGTGATGCAAGACCACGTATTTGCAGCTGCTTCCCCGGATCGTTTAGTGTCATGCTCCTGCTGCGGAGAAGGACTTCTAGAAGTGAAGTGTCCTTTCTCTGCTGCCAATCAGCCAGCAAATGTGAAGCATGTCACTTATTTGGAGATTGATAATGGAAAGACACATCTTAAGCATATGCATGAATATTATTCCCAGGTGCAGTATCAAATGGGAGTCACAAAACGACTTTGGTGTGATTTTTTTGTGTACACCAAGTCGGACTGCTTTGTAGAACGAATCCTGTTTGATGAGACTCATTGGTTGGAATTACTAACTTCAGCGACAGACTTCTTCAAAACCTATATCTGTGATGCACTTGTGAATAAAGTTGAGTAACAAAGAAATGACCTGGAGAAATACATTTATTTGCACAACATTTCATTTAGTGTTTTAATGCAAGGCAGAGAAAATGTAATGTTCCCGTTAACGGAAAAAAAAGAGGATGTTTTAATAATTCAAATTATTTACAAACAAATGTGGCCACTGACATTTTCTTATTGTATAACCTTACTCTTAGGTTTTTATTTAACAGTACAGTGTAAAGAATAGGAAACATGTTCATTTCTTCTGTGAAAGCAACTGCACAATGTGAAAGTAACAAAGTCATTTAAATATTCATAAATATTGACTATGAGCTTTTGACAGTCATCAGAAAACTGTAAAACCAAAAAAGATGGTGTGTAAATGATGTCTCTACTGTGAAGACTTTACATTAAGATTTACACTATTAGAGGTGGCAACAAATTACAAAGCGCTGCACAAATGATCAAGATATCATCAAATAAGTGAGCCATTGTTACTGGCAGTGTTGTGCTCAAAATTTGAAACCATTTTAGTCTGTTGATGGCTCGTTCTACGTGAATACGAACATTTGCCACTTTTTTGGTCTGGGCAACATTTTGTGAGCACATTTGTTCCAAACCTGAACTGGGTGGTGGAATTACTAATTTTGCCATTTTGAAAAGTAGATCTTCTTGAATTGGAAAACCACGGTCTGCCATGATAAGATCATGTGGGTCTACCAAATCTAAAAATCCTGACTGTTGGACAATTTGCCTGTCTGTTGTCCGGCCTCCCCATGCTTTAGACATAAATGATATGTGACCGTTTGGTGCAATACCAACTAAATATTTCATGGTATTATGTTTCTTGTAGTCAGACCATGTAGCTGCTTGCAGCTTTAGATCTCTGGGCCTGTCAATGAAAGTCTCACTACAGTCCAGTATGCACCTCAGGTTGGGATATTTCTCCTGAAGACTAGCTGGTAGCATAGTGCGGATTGAGTTTTTGTCTGGCCAAAAAACAAGCCAACAGAGCTGAGCACCAAGGAACTTAATCCATGTAGTTATTATGTTGGAGCAAGACGACGCACCAATAGAAAATATGCTGGCCAAAAATTCATTTGTTAGACCTAGTCTAAGCTTCATCAAAACCATAAGGAACTCTGACTTTATGTTAAGTTTGCGTCCAGGTCCTGACTTTTGTGGTGTTTGAACAAATTTTCTAACTTTAGTAGAAATAACTCTTCGAGTTCCACCCCAGTACCTCATTTTTGCTGCTCTTGGGGTGAGGACCTGAAGCAGCTTGTTAAAGGTTCCTTTGTTAGGGAGACCGGTGTTTAGTTTTACAGACCGGTCGTCTGAAAGAAATCGGTCTGTGAAGTACCTTTTGTTGTCAGCATTAGCACTAATTGTATTGTTCATCATATCAGCTAGACTAGTGCCACTACAAGAACTTTCATTTGCTTTTATCCCTAACATTTTTAGTTCATTTTCCAATTGAATTACTTTATTACTAAGCCTAGTAATAGTGTCACAGTTACAGTTTGACTTACAGTTACATTTATTTGTCTTCATGTAAGTATGGTCCACATGGGCTTGAATTGTCGTTACATCAGTTCCAGGGTCATTTCCAGGGTCACTTCCACTGGTTTTGGGGGTATCTTCCTTGCTTGTGCCTCGATTCTGTGCATCTTCTGTGCTGGGGCCTGGAAGAATGTAATAAATGAATAGTATTATACAATCTGTTCAAACACACACACAAATTGTGTTAACAGATTGGGAGTAATCAGTATATTTAAATTTTTGTACTCTGGATGTTGAGTTTCTGCCTCTTCGATGCTCGGACTGTAACAGGTGTCCGTGGTTTTGGTGGTGCCCGTTTCTTTCCTGTACTAGTTGATGGCACTGGGTATCCTGAAAATAAAAAAGTATATTTTGCATGTAAATAATATAGAGAGATTTGTGTAAGCTCATTTTTTTTACGGATGGAAACTAGCTATTTAGCTATAATCTGGTGCAGTGCATCTCTGTCTCTCTGAGCTTAATGTTTCTGTACATTGTCCCTTCAATAAAGATTAAAGTATTTTTATTTATAATTTATGAAGGTGTAAAAATACCACTACATTGCAAAAGGTTCTGCCACATTACCTAGATTCAGTGTAGGGTTTGGAAAGGGCGGGATGGTGCACCATCAGCAAAATGCATGGAGCAGACTCGGCTGTTCTTGTCTGGTGCCCAGTTTTTACCTGTTTTTATGTTCTTTCTGTTCATCTGGAAAAAATAAATAAATAAAATGATAGAATTAATGAAAGGGTAATACAAATTAGGCTGTGTATGTATGCCAGCTTACATCTATAATATACTATAAAATGTTTGTTTCAAACATATCCTTGTTAAATGATAATATATCCATGCCAGATTGTATACTTTATAAGTTAAACAAAACACACTTTAATTCAGGGACTTTCAGAAAGTCAAACCAAAGTTCTGATATTTGACATAAAATATAGTAATGATCCTGGGGGGATCGGGCATATTGTGGCGAGAAAGAAAAGGACGCAAACAAACCCCGAAACCTGCTGGGTGAGAGCCACCTCTCTAACATGTACACCACAATATAATATTTATATACTAGTTAGCTTTAATGTACAGTATATGTCAAACTTCTAATTTAATCCATGCGACACGACGTTCTGGATCTTTTCTTTCAGTAGGAAATGGGATGAGTACGTATGGCGGGTCGCATATACAACGTGAGGTTCCTTTATTGCACTCGTGAACAGGGCAAAACTCTTTCATCCACTTATTAATCCCACGTGTACCGTTGGAACAGCCAAGCACTGAACAATGGGACCCTGGCATATTGCCTTAAAACGACCTTAAGCAAAGTAAATGCCTAAAAGTCCGTATAAGTAGCCGGTTGTTCCGCTAGACAGTGGCTTTGTTGACACGCTGGGCAGTCGTGAACTCTGACCCGGATATATTGACCCGGGAACCGCGCATGCGTACTGATAATGCTGATTTGGCTTATTTTAGACCTCTCATCCCACCATTTACAAATGATGTTTGCTGATAATTACTCTGGTCAAAAAACATGCACAATATTTTTGGCTTGGTTTTATAAATCACACATACAAAAATCAGTGAAATGTGTCATTGCTCCTGGGGTGGTGGTGGAGCTAGCATATTATTGTTTATATAGCACTTCTGTAAATGGAGGATGGAACAAAATAGTTGAAATCCTGATTCAAATACCAATTCCATAGCCTTATAAGACCGTTTCTATGGCAATTGGCATACTCCCAATGGTATGCAAGTCACTACATGTGGGGATCATGAGGCCAGCCTGCTATATAGTGTCTTCATAAAAAAAAAAAAAGGGCAGTTTCCAGAAAAGCTCACGCTTGAAGTTGCATATTTAAATTGATTCAATATCCAGCCAAAGGAAGCAGCATTTTTTCACAGTCGACTGGAGAGTAGATAGTGTCAGGCGGAGAAGCAGGTGGATTTGCATCGTAGTGTCTCTCTGATTCCACCGTGAACGTGGCGAGCATGTGTATTTGAAAGTATGCGAATGATTGGATGCTACTCGGTCACCCGGTCACCTCGCTGCAGTGGCGGAAAAAGCCCGACTTGGCCAATGTGCTGCTGTTGCCAATGTTTCACAAAAAGTGGCTGTGTTTGAGCCTGGAACAGATGCCCCGTGCCACTCTGGATGGCGCTCATGTGGGGTGAATGCACAAGGCCGTACTAATTGTGTAGTGCCTTTTATTCATGCGCAGTGGTGTCACTATTTTGCCTCCAAACAGATGTTTTAACAATGAGTGTGGTGCACAAGCCGAGTCACAGTCAACAACAAGCAATGAATCCAGCCAAAAACAGAAAAAGACTTTCAAGAACTTTTTCAGGATTCATTTATTATATCCAGCAGGAAATTTGTCTCACAGGCTGCTACAATGGAAAGTACACATACACACACAGAGCATCGCAGACAAAAAACATTCATACTTATACCAGTTGAGGTATACTATCAGTTGTTGGGACTCCGGATGGATGGGAGAAGTTAATGTTTTGTCAATCTTTTTTTTTTTTCTATTTAATATTAAACAAACTAAAAATGATTACATTACAACAAACACACAGACAAACACAAGTCCAGGATGCAGACTACAATAGTGTTTAAATCTGTACAACAAAACCCCATAACTATACTTAGTTGGTTTTAACAAGTCATTATAAAAACAACTAAATAACGTGA